CTACTCACCATCCTGACTTGGAATATATTGCCATTCCTTCAGTATCACCGAGCGAATGACAGGAACATGAGGTCAGGTTGCTAGAACTCTATAGGTCAAGGAAGACATGCAATGTCGTCACGATTTGGGAAAATTCAGGACAAAAGCAGTTTTCATGAAAGGACTGTGGAGAGAATTACATTCCAGCTTTGAGGCTAGATGGAGAGGGGAAAGTTCTGATGCCAGGCACCATTGTGCAGATGCACAATAGGCATCCAATTGTGAAAGCCAGGGAGCAGTGAGAACGTTCAGTGCCTGCCAAATTGATAACTGCTCCTGGTAGAAGGTGACCCAGACTGCCCCACAGCCCTGCACATGGCAAGGTCTTTGTTTTAAAAGAAACAGAATTTATTGAACCCACGTAACCTCAAGACCATTGAACTTCATTGTCAGTAAAGCAATTTTGGAAGAGCAGTCACATGTAATGTTGAAAAACACAGCAACCGATTTACACACAGTGCGCCACTCCCTCAGCGCTGACCCTCTGACAGTGCGCCGCTCCCTCAGCGCTGACCCTCCGACAGTACGCCGTTCCCTCAGCGCTGACCCTCCGACAGTGCGCCGCTCCCTCAGCACTGACCCTCCAACAGTGCGTTGCTCCCTCAGCACTGACCCTGCGACAGTGCGACGCTCCCTCAGTACTGACCCTCCGACAGTGCGGTGCTCCCTCAGCACTGGCTCTCTGTCAGTAACAAGTTTAAGTCCATTGTGGCAGACAAGGTTGTTACCACTGAACCTTGACTGTCCCGGGCTTTTGTAAAGACCCATGAAATGACTCTGACTGTCTCCTCTATAACGTTCCGTGCTCATGAGCAGACAGTACTGCAACCTACTGTTGATGTGAAGATTAAACAGCAGTATTCTGATCCAATATAATGTGGTGAAGCCAAAAGACAGAACTGACCCATCTTCCTGCAGTGAGGCAGGGTGAGGTGCACATGGTTATGTGCAGGGTTTGAAAACTGACGCCAGATCAGGATCCATTGTCACCTACATCATTGTGAGCTTTCAAGTCCTACATTATGTCTGGGGGAAAATAATCGAGAGGCAGGGAAGAGTCATAAAGCTATACAGCACAGAAACAGACCTTTCGGTCCAACTCATCCAAGCTGACCAGATATCCTAATTTAATCTAGTCCCATTTGCCAGTAATTGGCCCATAAGCCTCTAAACCCTTCCTATTCATGTACCCATCCAGATGCCTTTTAAATATAGTAAATGTACCAGCTTTTACCCACCTGGCAGGGGCAATAGTTTAATTTAATTTGGGATGGACAGTACAACGAGGCAGTTCCATCATCGCAGCAGGAATTACAATGAATTAAGCACTGGCAAACACCTTGTACTACTTCAACTAATGTCACTGTTCCCAGTGAGAACCAATAGAGTTTGACACAAGAATACTGTCTACAAATCCCCATTTTTTAATGAAGTGTTATATTTACATTGGAAGCGGATCAGGGAGGGTTCCCTCAGCTGATTCCTGGGATCAAAGGGCTTCTCCGAAGAGGAAAGGTTGGGCATGTATTCACTGCACTATCAAAGAATGAGCTGATCATATTGAAACACATACAGTTCTGAGGGGTCTTGACAGGGTCGATGCTGGGAGGATGTTTCCCCTTTCGGGGTGAACTCTAAAACAGAGGGGCACAGGTTCAAACATAAAGATCCCCCGTTTAAGCCTGACATGAGGAGGAATTTCTTCTCTCCGAGGCTCATTAGTCTCAGAAATTCGCTTTCCTGAGCAGCAGAGGCTGACTCACTGAGTATATTCAGGTTGGAGTGAGACAGACTTCTGATCCAGAAGGGAGCTTGAGTTGAGTGGCAGACAGGAAAATGTAGTTGGGGAGGCAATAAGCAAGTGGTATTGTCACTGGCCTGTTAATCCAGAGACCCAGGTAATGTTCTGGGGACCTGGGTTCAAATCCTACCATGGCAGATAGTAGAATTTGAATTCAATAAAAAATCTTAAATTAAGAGTCTAATGATGTCAATTGTCAGGGAAAGCCCATCTGGTTCACTAATGTCCTTTAGGGGAGGAAACTGCCATCCTTACCTGGTCTGGCATACATGTGACTCCAGGCCCACAGCAATGTGGTTGACTCTAAACTGCCCTCTGGGCAATTAGGGATGGACAATGAATGCCTCTGTCAGTAGGAATGGCCCTGGCCTCCCGGTTGTTTTACCATTTCAATAACCCACCTTGGTCTCACACTAACATTCCTGTACTGGACCTGCTCCAACGTCCCAATGAAACAACGCATGCTTGAGGAACAAGATCTCATTTTCCACGTGGGCACCTTACAGCCTCCAGTGCAGAATATCAAGTTCAATGACTTCAGAGCATGATGTCTGGTCTCTATTTTTATTTTTACATTCCCTATCCTCTGTGTCTAGTTTGCCTCTTGTTGGCTTTGCCCTTAGCAAAGTGGACCTGATTTCTCCTTGGCACAGCAAACATTGACACCTATTTTGTACCTCAAACCCTCCTTTACCCCATTCACACTACCTGTGCCTTTGGCTCAGGGCAGCCTTACCATCTGTTCCACTCACTCACTCCTCCCCTGCTTCTGTCAACAGCGTTAGAAAAAAAGGACTCATCATTTTCCTACTCTGAAGAAGAGTCGAAATGTTAATTCTGTTTCACTCTCCACAGTTGCTGCCAGACCTTCTGTGGTTCCCCAGGAATTTCTCTGTGTTTATTTATCATGAATTCCTTCCCTCATGCCATTCGCTGCCGGAAATGAGGACTAGTATCAAGCCTGCAGGCAGCTTGCCAGGCAAAAGAAAGCTCCACAAAAACAGACTTGACAATGCGTTCTCTCCTCTCCCACTAAGTTAATCAGATCAACACCGGGAAGGAAGTGCTATGTCTCAAGCACTGCTGAATCAACGTTGATTTCATTGCGTCTAAAGGCCTCAGAAAGGTGGACGGACATGAGGCAATCTGTGAATGTTCGCTTTTTGTTTAGATTGGAGCGCATCCCTGCATAAGGGTACACAAATCGCTGACTTCTGTTTAATGTCTCAGTCCAAATACTGGTCAAAGTCAACAATCCCGCACAGAGGTATTTAAACAGGAGCTGATAAAGATCATACCACACAGCAAGGTGACACTGAGCTCCAGGCATACTGTGTTTTTTGAGGAGTGGGGGGGGGGTTTGGTGAGGAAGGATCCCCATCAGTTACATTCTTTCGTGTCAAGAGGCACACGGCTCAAATCTATTCACTCATCATCTCGCCTGCAGTCGGCCAACGCACAGAAAGATCCCAGTCATCAGGATGTAGGAGACTCTGGCAACCCTTTACAGAATCCCGCCCAACCCCTCTGATCCAGGAATCCCACCACAACAACATCGCTTTGCCCGCTGTGTGAAAGCTGCTTTCAATTCTCAGCCAATGGCTCAGTCCCTTTGATCCAAACCCATTTGTGATATGTTATCGCCAGGCCATTTATCTATGTCTGTGAGGCTCTGCGCAAAGAGATGGAAAACTTTTGCCTGCTGTAAATAAATCAGATTGCTGCATTCCATCCAGTCAGACAGCATCTCCTGTGCAGGTTCCAACAAGCACGCTTATCCATTGTGGTGGAGATGGTCGCAGATATTCAGACAACATGTATACCATCCAATAACAGTCCCCAGGTACAGCCTGACTCTGTCATTTGCCTTGGTGCAGCTGCCATCAACTCAGTCCCAAACCTACCCTGACCCTAGCCCAAACACAGGTCCAACAACGAATTGGCAAATTTACTCAGCCAGCACCAGAAGTGGAAAACAGGGACCCCTCATCACAGCAGTAATCAACAAATACACCCACTGCCCTGTCTCAATCCCAAACTAATCCCACTCTCCCCACAGCCCTGAATCAATCCCCAAACTAATCCCACTGTCCCACTCTCTCCCCATAGCCCTGTATCTTCCCCGATTTAAATTCAATTTGTGTGATTGAATGAATGCTCCAACAACCCCTTCTAAATAAATTTCTGGTAATAAATCTTCAAGGGTTGGAGGTCAGGAGGAAGTTGGTGGAGTTGGGAGGAGACAGTGGTGGACTCAAGGGAATTCAGGGGTGGGTGGCAATGTCAGAACTTTGAGGCGGGGATGTCAGGGGAAACTGGCTGGGGAGAGTTGTTGGGTCTGGAAGGAATTGGGGGAAGGGGGAAGAATGTAGAGAAGGGGGTGGAGAAAAGGTTAGGGAGGGGATTAGAGATGAAGGTAGGGAAGGGGGTAGGGATGGAGGTAGGGCTGGAAGTAGGGAAAGGAGGTTAGGGAAAGGGAACGGGGGTTAGGGAATGGGGGTTAGGAAACGGGGGTTAGGGAACGGGGGTTAGGGAACGGGGTAGAGATGTGGGTTGAGAAGGGGTTGGAGATGTCGGTTGGGAAGGGGGTAGAGATGTGGGTTGGGAAGAGGGTAGAGATGTGGGTTGGGAAGGGGGTAGAGATGTGGGTTGGGAAGGGGGTAGAGATGGGACTAGGGAATGGAAGGGAAGGGGTTGGAGATGGGGGTAGAGATGGGGGTAGAGATGGGGGTAGGGAAGGGGTTGGAGATGGGGGTAGAGATAGGGGTAGGGAAGGGGACAGGGAAGATCCAGTTGATGCCTGACTGAAAGCAAACCCCAAAGGATCCAGACGCCCCGGACCCTGGAGGTCTCAGCCTGAGGCCATTCACAAGACTATGGGGTTCCAGTCCCATCCGGGGTCTGTCTGGCTTCAAACCAGCCCCCACCAGCAAGTACCTCCACATCCCCAACCAGATTCCCCCGCTTTGTGGGAGCTTGCTGTGCACAACCCAGGTGCCACGTTCTCCACACTCGGACAGTGAGGCACTTCAAAAGCAAAATGCCTTCGATCGGCGCTACAGGAATGCAGGATCTCTCTGTGTGAATGGACGAGCTCCCCCCCCCCCCCCGCAGTGAGTGCTCGCGGCCATTCAGCCTTCTCAATGCAAACTGTACTCACAGGGAATGGGGAGCAGGTTCAGCAGAGTGTCCCCGGTAAGAGCTCGGAAAGGCGCCTGGAGCCCCGCAGCCGCAGCGCCGTCTCGCTCTCTGTCTCCGGCCACGTAGCGCTGGAAGGCGGAGGCTGGGCGGACTGAGGGCTGCAGAGTGCGCGCACGCTCGGCCCCAGCCACTGTCACTCAGTGAGAATTACCGAAACAAGTGGGTAAATCACCACACCAGCCTCTAAACCGGACTGGAACTCACTAAATCAGTGTCAACTTCATGAAATCAGCCTGTGAACCGGGCTGAAACTCACTAAATCAGTGTCAACATCACTAAATCAGCCTCTGAACCGGACTGGATCTCAGTAAATCAGTGTCAACATCACTAAATCAGCCTCTAAACTGGGCTGGAACTCACTAAATCAGTGTCAACATCACTAAATCAGACTGTGAACCGGACTGGAACTCACTAAATCAGTGTCAACATCACTAAATCAGCCTCTAAACCAGGGTGAAAGTCACCACAGTGAAAATCACCAAATCAGTGTCTCAACGGGTGCAAAAGTCACTAAATCAGTGTGAAAATCACTAAATCCCCTTTGAATCAGAGAGAATGTCACTGACACAGGGGAAAATGCATCAAATTAGCCCCTAGACTGGTGCAAAAGTCACTGACATGGGGCAAATCAATAAATCAGCCTCTGAACCAGTGTGAACATCACCAAATGAGTGTGGAAATCACCAAATCCGCCTCTAGACTACGGTGAAAGTCACTGAGGGGGAAAATTGCCTAGCTGTAGACATACTAATATGGACATTGCCAAATCAGCTTTGAAATCACCAAAGCATCCACTAAGCCAGTGCAAAAGTCACCAAACCAGCGTTAAAATCACTAAATCACTGATTGATCCAGTGTGAACATCACCAAATCAGTGTGGGAATCAGCAAATCAGCCTCTACACTGGTGTGAAATCACCAAATCAGTGTTACAATCACTAAATTACTGTGCAAACCAGTGTGAACATTGCCAACCCTGTGTGGAAATCACTAAATCAGCCTCTAAACCAGTGTGAAAGTCAGCAACTCAGTGTGAATATTACCAAATCACCAGCATAAACATCACCAATTCAGTGTGGAAATCACCAAATCAGCCTCTACACTGGTGTGAAAACCACAAATTCATTTTTCAAATTCCCGAATCAACCTCTAAACTGATGTGATGCAAATCACCAAATCAACATGTATCAATTTATCCTGTCTACAACTTCATCAGAACAGTTTGAAAAGAGGCAAATCAAAGTGAGATTCACCGAATCAGTGTGAAATTCACAAGCTTAGTGTAAAATTGCAAAGTAGGTGTTAACTTCACCTAACCAGTGCAAAATTCACCAAACCAGTGTGAAAGTCAGCAAACAAGTCTGAAATTCACTAAATCAATAGAAAGCTTGGTTTGAAAAGATTGTGTAGAATTCCCAAAACCAGGCTGAAAATCACCAAATCAGTGCAAAAATCACCAAAACAAATGAAATCTAGAAATCCATGTAAAATTCATCAAATCAGTGCATTCCCAAAATCAACATGAACATACACCAAATATGCATGGAATATTCGAGTGAGTGTGAGGAAGTTCAGATACCACTTGTGGAGTGCGGCAGATCATTGGCCACTTTCCTACACTGCTAGATACTTTGAATAGGCAAGTGGGCCATGTTGGGACATCCATCATGAAACTTCCTTAAAAAGAAACATGTTGTCAGAAAACAGGAAAATTTGGCCCTAATCCTTTGTTGGAAGATTTGAAACTACTCTCTCCTCTTTTCAGCCACACTGCCTGCCCCCTTTCTCCTGTCCTTTAGCCATCCCTCTCTCTCATTAAGTAATAGAATCCCTACAGTGTGGAAGCAGGCCATTTGGCCCATCTAGTGCACACTAACCCTCCAATGAGCATCCCACACAGACCGATCCCACCCCCCACGCACATCCCCACCCCCACCCCCACCCCCGTAACCCTGCATTTCCCATGGGTAATCTACCTAGCCTGCACATCCCTGGACACTATGGGCAATGTAGCATGGTCAATCCACCCTAATCTGCATATCTTTGGACTGTGGGAGGAAACTGGAGCACCCGGAGGAAACCCACGCAGACATGGGGAGAATGTGCAAACTCCACACAGACAGTTGCCCGAGCATGGAATCGAACCCGATCCTTGACGCTGTGAGGCAGGAATGCTAACCACTGAGCCACCGTGCCACCCTTTCCCCTTGTTGTCCCTTTCTCCCCATTTGCAGCTCCTCCCCCCTCTCTTTGCTTCCCATCCTTCTCCCCTCCCACCCTTTTTAAACTCAATTTGCACCATGGTAACCATTCCCCCCAACCTGGCCTTGGTCCCTGGACTTTGCTAATCTTAATTCCCTCTACCTCAAACTTCAGAGGTCCTGCATTGTCTGCTCTTGGCCCTCTTGCTTTGGTCTCACTTGCTCTAGCCTTGTTCCTCACTGCCTCTTACATTTTCCCTTCATCCTCATTTACAGGCTGCTTCTCTGTCGCATTTGTTGCTGGCAGCTTGGAGTGAATGATTCCGACTGCTACAGCGGAACCTGTCTCCAATTGGATGCTCCTGTGAGTGAACTGTCCTGGACATTTGCAGGCCATTTGGAGGTGGATGCATCAGCTGCCCCCATACTGTTGAGTGTTATAAACATGGCTGATAATCCATTGCGTGAAGAGGTTTACACTGACTAAAGTTCATCCCTTCAGATAAATGTTAATCCAAAGGCCTGCTCAGGCAGATTGGACAATATTTGAAGAAGTGCAGCTTTCATTTAACCTTCAGCTGACATCACAGAAACACATCATCTGGCCCTTGAGCTCATTGCTGTCGGTTAAGATCCGAATGAGAGCAAATTGACTGCTTTGTTTTCTGATGTTACCACAGTAGCAATATTCAAGAAGCTAAACACCTGCTTCGAGATTTCCTATGGCTATCAAAAGTGCGTTGTATATGTTTAAATAGAAACTACTATAGACAAATTTGCTGTTGACACTATAATGGGTGGGAAAATATGTTGCAATAAAGAAATAAAAAATTTACACATGGATATGAATTGGTTAGGTGAATGGGTCAAAATTTGGCCAGTGAGGTTTAACGTGGATAAGGGTGAGGTTATCCATTTTGGTCAGAGGAGGAGAAAGGCAACTTATTATTTAAATGGAGAGAAACTTCGGAGTGTTTCAGTGAAGAGGGATCTGGGTGTCTTCATGCATGAATTGCAGAAAACTAGTATGCTGGTACAGCAGGTAATAAGGAAGGCAAATGGAATTTTGGCATTTATTGCTAAAGGAATAGATTATAAAAGTAGGGAGGTGTTGCTTCAACAAGGCATTACTGAGACCACACCTGGAGTATTGCGTACAATTTTGGTCCTCCTCCTTGAGGAGGTATGTCGTTGAGTTGGAGGTTGTTCAGAGGAGTTCACTAGATTGATTCCAGAGATGAGGGAGTTGTTTTACAGAGATTGAACAGTTTATGTCTATACTCTCAGAGGTTTAGAACAATGAGAGGAATTCTAATTGAGGTACATAAGATGCTAAAGGGAATTGACGGAGTAGATGTAGAAAGAATGTTTCCTCATGTGCGGCAATCAGAAATGATTATATATTAGACATTAAATTATATTACATGAGGTCATAGTTTTAGGATAAGGGGTAATAGATTTAAAACAAAGATGAGAAATTATTTCTATCAAAGGATTGTGAATCTCAAATTCACTACCTCAGGGTGCAGTGGATTCTGGGACTTTGAGTGTATTTAAGGAGGAGATAGATCTGTAATTAGTAATGGATTGAAGGGTTATGGAGAGTGAGCAGTGGCAAATAAGGTAGATGAGGTCGTTGTCTTTTTAATAGGGCACAGGAGAAGAGGGGTTCTCTTAGACTTGTATAAAAATGGTATTCCAGACTGAAATGGAATATTGGAAAATGTGGCATAATTAGACAGACAGCAGAAAGTTTCACAAGAGTAGCTCCATGGATGAGCAATTTCAGTTACCAAGATAGAATGGTGAAATTGGGATTTGATCAAAGTGTTCAATATAATGATGTGCCTGGAAAGAGTAGATAGGGAGAAAATGTTCCCACTGGGGAAATGATCAGGGACAGGAGCGCACTGATTTAACAAAATTGACAAAAGAAGCAATGATGACACATTGAAAAACATCTTCACCCAGGAAGTGGTTAGGGTCTGGAATGTACTATCTGAGAGTGTGGGGGAGGCAGGTTCACTCGAGTGGTTAGGGTCTGGAATGTACTATCTGAGAGTGTGGGAGAGGCAGGTTCACTCGAGTGGTTAGGGTTTGGAATGTTAGAATATGTGTCCACATTTCTCAAAATATTAATAGGCACTTGTAGATTTTCACAGGGACATCTAAAACCTTTTCAAAACAAGATGAAAGAGTGGGCAAATAAACATGCGACAATCAGAAATTTTAAACAGAAGATGAACTTTTGGCACAGTTGCCTTTGCAATGTGAACCATTAAAAGCAATATTCAGTGATCTCTTCAAAGTTATTGAAGGGGTTAGTCAGATAACATTTTAATTGATAGTCCTGATTGTAGGAAAAAGACTCAATTGTGTCACTGGGAACATTTTGAAGCAATACTATTGTAGAGAAGGTGATGAGAAGGTGTGTGAAGTTGTAAATTGTAGTAGAGGTCGACTTAATAATAAATCAGAGCCAAAGAGAATTTGACAATTCCCAAAGTGAACTTCCTACTATTAGGTTAACAAATTTGGAGATATTGGAAAATTCAGACACGATATATTCACACCTGGAGAAAGATCAACAGAGAGATATAGTGAGATTGCTCAGAAAACACAAAGAAATTTGTAACAATACACTTGGATGCACCACATTAACCGAACATGACGTGGATGTTGGCAATTTGGACCTGATAAAACAAAACCCATATCAGTTAAACCCAGAGAAATGGGTCAGAGTAACAAAGATAACTCAATACATGTTGGAGAATCAACTGATTGAACCAAGTCAGAGTTACTGGAGTTTTCTTGTAGTATTGGTTCTTAAACTAGATGGTTCAATTTGATTATGTGTAACCTGTAGGAAAGTGAATTCAGTCACAAAGA